CCCCCCCCCCTCTCCACCCAGGCCCACCGCAAGAACCGGGAGCACCTGGCGCTGCGGGGGGAGAAGGAGGGCCGTAAGGGGGAGGCGGAGCTGGAGCTGTACATGTGCGACTACTGTGAGGAGACCTTCAGCCAGACGGAGGATCTGGAGCAGCACGTGCTGCGCCGCCACCCGCAGCTGTCCGACCGCGCCGACCTGCAGTGCATCCACTGCCCCGAGCTCTTCCTGGACGAGGCCGCGCTGCTCACGCACATCGAGACGCAGCACGCCAACCGCAAACACAAGTAAGGGGCAAGGAACGCAACCGGGCCTGAGAACCGAGCCTGTGGAAACTGGGCCTTATTCTACAGGCCTGTGGAGACCAGGCTGTAGGAACGAGGCCTGTGGAACCGGGCCTGTGGGAACTGGGCCTGGTTCTACAGGCCTTTGGAGACCATGTTGTGGGAACCGGTCGGTCTGTGGCATGAAGAACCAGGCCCGGTTCTCAGGCCTGGTTCTTCATGCCTGTGGAACTGGGCCTCTGGAGACCAGGCTGTGGGAACCGGTCTGTGGGAACCAGGTCTGTAGAACCGGGCTTGTGGGAACCAGGCAGGCTTGTGGGAACCGGGCCTGTGGAACCGGCCTGTGGAACTGGGCCTGTGGGAACCAGGCCTGGTTCTACATGCCTGTGGAACGGGGCCTGTGCAGACCAGGCTGTGGAACCGGGTCTGTGGGAACCAGGGCTGTGGGAACCGGTATGTGGGAACCAGGGCTGTAGAACCGGGCCTGTGGGAACCAGGGCTGTAGAACCGGGCCTGTGGGAACCAGGGCTGTAGAACCGGGCCTGTGGGAACCAGGCCCGGTTCTACAGGCCCGTGGAACCGCTGCTGTGGATCAGGGCCCACAGCTGCTCTCCGTGCTGCAGGTGTCCCGTGTGCTCGGAGCAGTTCCCCTCGGTGGAGGACGTGTACTGCCACCTGGACAGCCACCGGCAGCCCGACTCCTCCATCCACAGCGCCGCCAGCCCCGACCCGGCGCTGGGCAGCGTGGCCTCCATGAGCTCCGCCACGCCGGACTCCAGCGCCAGCCTGGAGAGAGGCTCCACCCCCGACTCCACCCTGAAGCACAGCCAGGGCGGCGAGCGCGGCCGCCGGAGAGGCGCCGACTCTGCCGAGGACACGGCCGGCGTCCTGGGCCCCCAGGCTGGAGGTCAGTAGGTCGGAGAGGGTCAGAGGGCCCCCAGGCTGGAGGTCAGTAGGTCGGAGAGGGTCAGAGGGCCTCCAGGCTGGAGGTCAGTAGGTCGGAGAGGGTCAGAGAGCCCCCAGGCTGGAGGTCAGTGGGTCGGAGAGGGTCAGAGGGCCTCCAGGCTGGGGGTCAGTAGGTCAGAGTGGGTCAGAGAGCCTCCAGGCTGGAGGTCAGTGGGTCAGAGAGGGTCAGAGAGCCTCCAGGCTGGGGGTCAGTAGGTCAGAGTGGGTCGGAGAGCCTCCAGGGTGTGACCAGGGTGCTGTGCCCCACAGGTGGGGGGGGCGGCTGGGCCAAGGTGACGTACTCCTGCCCCTACTGCTCCAAGAAGGACTTCCACAGCCTGGCCGTGCTGGAGATCCACCTGAAGACCATCCACGCAGACAAGCCCCAGCAGAGCCACACCTGCCAGCTGTGCCTGGAGACGCTGCCCACCCTCTACAACCTCAACGAGCACGTGCGGCGCGCGCACCGCGCCGGCGGCGGCACGGTGGCGGCGGCGTTCCCGCTGCTGCAGTTCACCAACGTCACGGCTTTCCACTGCAACTACTGCCCGGACATGTTCGGGGACATCAACTCCCTGCAGGAGCACATCCGGGCGACCCACTGCCTGCCCGGCGCCATCATGGCCGGCTCCACCACTCTAGGTGAGCTCAGAGTGGCCATGTTTTGACCTCCGACCACCGCAGGGCCTCTGTCAGGAAGCACACTGGTCAACCGGGAGGGATTTTAATATGGGCGGATGCATTGATATACTGAGTATTTCTGGAGCATTCATATATACAGAATAGCTATCACTCTTTAGATGTCTGCATCCAGAAAATACTTCTATCCAAACAGAGGCTCTAACATCCAGCTCCATTCTGAGCTCAGCCTGATGCTACATGCTAGCAGAGGCTTTAACATTAAGGCTTTAACATCCAGCTAGATTCCACAGTTAGCATCCATTGATGCTACATGTTATCAGGAAATAAGAGACTTTAGAGCTTTTGAACATGTCAAATGAACATTTGTAAACAAACAAATGTAATCCACAGCTTTAAACTTTGCTTATGCAGCACATCTGTGGACACCAGGCATTTAAAGCTGACCACGATAGAAAAAAACCTCTTCACTTAATTAGCTTAAATGTTCCAATTCAGATAAATAACTAACTGAAAATGGGCGGTTCAAGGATTGGAAGTAAACACCAGGGCGACACAACGATATAAGAAAAGAACAACACATCTGTATTTAGCAGGAAAAGGAACGGCAAACAACAACCTTCAAAATAAAAGCCTCAATACCTAAACTCAGCCAGCGCTCGGAGCTAACTCCGGCTGCTTTTGTCCTCCATCCAGAGGGGAACCACGCCTTCTTCTGCAACCAGTGCTCCATGGGCTTCCTGACAGAGTCCTCCCTGACGGAGCACATCCAGCAGACGCACTGCACCTCGGCCACCGGGGGAGGGGCGGCCTCAGGGGGGGCCGTGGCCAAGCTGGAGTCTCCTGTGCTGCAGGCCGCCTCGCAGTCCTTCATGGAGGTGAGAATCCAAAAAGGGGGGAATCATCCGGACTAATCGGTTGTGGTGGTTCGTTGCCGGTTTGGAGAAGGCGCTCGCCACGTTTTCTGCTTCATTTTGCAGCCGTGTGAGAAAAAACTCTTTAAACTGAGGTTTAGTGACGTGTCAACGAATGACCTGCTCCTTATCAGCCACAAGCCCTCATGATAGGGCCCCATGATAGGCTGAACAACAGTCCCCAAATGATGACATTCTGTCCTAAATGTTTGGGACCAAACCACCCAGATACAGTCTAATATTATATATATATTACATATTATATTATATATTCAGATAAAGTGACGTATTTAAGGAATAACCTGCTCCCTATCAGGCTCACAGTGTCAGTGTGAGAACACAAGCTCTCATCACCCCCATGGTAGGCTGAGCTTTGACCAACAATCTCCAAATGATGTCATCCTGTCTTAAATGTTTCGGACCAAACCATGTGGATATATTCTAATATCATATATGTTGCATATAATATTATATATTCAGATATAGGGACGTGTTAACAAAGTACCTGTTTCTTATCAGCCAAAAGCTGATTTAATAGGTCCCTATGTCAGGCTGAGCTCTGGGCTTTTCTGACCAACACTCCCAAGCTAAAATGCTCCTGTCCTGCAGTGTGTGGCTGCTGGTCGGTGGTGTTGGTGAGCTGCCCGTGTCTCAGCCAGTAAAGCCTTGTTGTCCCTCACAGGTCTACTCCTGCCCCTACTGCACCAACTCCCCCATCTTCGGCTCGCTCCTCAAGCTCACCAAGCACATAAAGGAAAACCACAAGAACATCCCCCTGGCCAACAACAAGCGGCAGGCCAAGGTGGCCGAGCTCAGCCCCGCCTCCTCCGACGTGGAGATCTCCTCCCCCAAACGCCACCGACTGGGGGGGGACTCCACCCCGTCTATGGGAAGCAACGGAGACTACCCCTGTAACCAGTGCGACCTGCGGTTCTCCAGCTTCGAGGGCTTCCAGGCGCACCTGAAGTCCCACCTGGAGATGCTGCTGCGCCGGCAGTCCTGCCCGCAGTGCAACAAGGAGGACTTCGAGTCCCAGGAGGCTCTGCTCCAGCACCTGACGGTGCACTACACCACCACCTCCACGCAGTACGTGTGCGAGAGCTGCGACAAGCAGTTCTCCTCGGTGGACGACCTGCAGAAGCACCTGCTGGACATGCACACCTTCGTCCTGTACCACTGCACCCTCTGCCAGGAGGTCTTCGACTCCAAGGTGTCCATACAGGTACGGGAGGCGCCCCGCCCGCCGGGCTTCCCTCTGATGCTGGGCTGTCAGACTCCAGGCTTCTCTGGTCTCCTCTGGTCCCCTTTAGTCTCCTTTGGTCCTCTATGGGTCTTTCTGATCCTCTCTGGTCCTCTGTGGTCCTCACTGGACCTCTCTGGTCCCCTTTGGGCCTCTGTGGTCCTCTTTGGGCCCCTTTGGGCTGCTGTCCTGCAGGTTTCAGGCATTTTCCTGCTTCTCTACAGCTGATTCTGATTAAACTGGCTCTCTCCTGAACATTGTTCAGCCCTTTGATGCCTCTAAACCTGCCGGACAGAGGCCCAGAAAGAGAGGCCCAAAGAGGCCCAAAGAGGTCCACAGAGGCCTGACACCTGTGCTCTGATGAAAGAAAACCAGAAAGAAGGACTTATTGCTGCCCCTCTTCTCACTGTTCCCTGTCCCTCAGGTGCATCTGGCCGTGAAGCACAGCAACGAGAAGAAGCTGTTCCGCTGCACGGCCTGTGCCTGGGACTTCAGGAAGGAGGCAGACCTCCAGCTTCACGTCAAGCACAACCACCTGGGCCAGAGGCCCGGCCTCCCCGGAGGCCTGGCAGGTACGGGTCTCTCCCCCTGTTTCTGCGGCCGCTCGGACCAGCAGCGGCCGGTCCGGCTGATAACAAAACCTGCATGTGTTCAACAGACTCTCCTCTCTCAGGCCTGAAGCCCCGGAAGTGCATCTTCTGCGGGGAGACGTTCGGGACGGAGGTGGAGCTGCAGTGCCACATCACCACGCACAGCAAGAAGTTCACCTGCCGCTTCTGCGGCAAAGCCTTCCACGCCGTCTCCCTGCTGGAGAGGCACCTGAGGGAGAAGCACTGCATCTTCGACGGCGGCAGCATCACCGGGAACGGCGGCGGCGGGACGGGCAGCAGCGGCAGCCAGAACGGGACGCCCAACGGGCTGGCGCAGAGCTCCAAGCGGGCGGCGGGCGGCGCCGTGGCGGCGGCGGCGGGCGGCGAGCGGGCGGAGCCGGCCGACCTGCAGAACATCCTGCTGAAGGGCGGCGTGGTGGCGGGCGCCTCGGCTCAGGGCGGGGACGCGCTCAACAGCCACGAGGCCAGCGGCGGCGAGGAGGAGCCGGACAACTCGGAGCCCATGTACGCCTGCGACATCTGCGGCGCCGCCTACACCATGGAGGCGCTGCTGCAGAACCACCGGCTGAGAGACCACAACATCCGGCCGGGAGAGGACGACGCCGGTGAGCCTGACCCTGACCCTTAGCCTTAACCTTAACCCTAATACTAACCCTTAGCCTTAACCTTAACCCTAATACTAACCCTTAGCCTTAACCCTTAGCCTTAACCCTTAACCTTTACCCCTTAACCCTAACCCTAACCCTAACCTTAACCCTTACCCTTACCCTAACCTTAACCTTAACCCTATCTTTAACCCTGAACCTGAACCTTAACATAAACCTAACCCTAACCCTAACCCTGACCCTTAACCTTAACCCCAACCTTAACTCTGACCCTTAACCTTAACCCTAACCATGACCCTAACTCATTTTGCTTGGTGCCTCCGCCTGAGGAACAGCCTGAAAGCTAGTGGGCTAAGGGCAGCAATTTTAGCATGCAGTGCATGGTTTTAAGTTGTTTTAAACTGATGTTTTTAATACATTTTAGCACAAAACAGGAGCTGACTCCTATTTAAAACCTTTTATCTACATTTGACTTACCTGGGGACTCCTGGAAACCTGCAAGGGAACACACTTACCTGCAGAAAGAACCTACTTACCTGTGTGGGACCTGAAAAAAACAAACAAATGAAAATACTTACCAGGGTAGCCAGAGGGAGCTAACAAAATGGGGCAAAAAGTGTGAGGGAGGGTGGAGCATCCACCTTTTGCCAAAACAAAAACCCTTGTTTCCTAACCCTAACCTTAACCCTAACCATCCGGCTAAATAGTCTCCATAACCCTCCCACCAGGTTCCCGGAAGAAGAAGGCAGATTTCATCAAGGGGAACCACAAGTGCAACGTGTGCTCCCGGACCTTCTTCTCGGAGAGCGGGCTGCGTGAACACGCCCAGACGCACCGCGGCCCGGCCAAGCACTACATGTGCCCCATCTGTGGGGAGCGCTTCCCCTCCCTGCTCACACTCACCGAGCACAAGGTGGGTCAGCCTCTGGGCCGGGTCCCTGACAAACACTCCACAAGACGCCGTGCCTCTGAAGGTCCAGCGAAGAAGCCTTTCCCACCGTAGGCTTCAAAAAGTCAAACATCTCAGGATCAACAATGTTTCTATGTTTATTTAGGTCTAATTTGATTCCGTTAGTATAAATCTGAAACATAATCAAACTACTTCTTCCAGTTCCTTTGTCATCACCTGTTTCTGTGTGAAATAACTTATTGGAAGTATATTTTATGCTGAATAGTAATGATTTGACTATCTAGTAGAAAAAGCAATTTAATGTACACGAGGTCCTCAGAAATAATCGAAATACGCTTTTATATAAATATTAGATCAAGCTTTTTATTTTCTTCTCACCTGTAAACTTT